TTCCACTTATTAAAAGATTTCAATGCTGAACACAAATTCCAGCTCCCTGGATAGTACTTGTATAGAGAAAAAGTTTGTTGCTTCAGCAGTAACTCCTCTTCATCCCCAACTTGGGTACTTTGTGAAAATGCCTTTTGTCAGCTTCCTACAGCTCTGTGCCTCAGTGAGTCACAACCAATAATCTCCCTCTCATAAAGCAGCAGGGTACCAAGAAGGCTAATTCCTCCACACCTCTTTCTTTCCCAGATATATTTTGTGCACTGAGCATTAATTAAAATAGCATTTTGCCATGACTAGACCAATTAGCATCTACTCTGCTACAAAATAAAATAATCTCCCTGTATAATGGTCAACAAGCCTTAGCCTTAGTAAATTATTCCAGTATCCAATCTATATTCTTCATGCTGCTGCATAAGCCTATTTCCTCTTATACTACCCTCAGTGAAGTCAGAAAATATCATTCATTCATTTAACAAATATGTACCACATGCTTACTCTGGCCCAGTCATCATGATAAGTGTCAAGGATACAGATCTCTGACCTCGTGAGGCTTCCAGTTCAGTGAGGGAGATAAGGATTAGACAAGTTATTGTATAAAAATATTTCATTCTAACTGTGATAAGTACAACAGAAGAGACCATGTACAAGGCACCGAAAATGAATTATTAAATGAGACTTGATTGACTTGGGAGGGTCAGCAAAGGCTACCCAAACAACAAATCAGCCTAGCTGAAATCTGAAGGATGAACAGGGGTGGAGGGAAAGGAGAGAGAGCATCCTAGGAGATGGAAGAACCTGTGCTGGGGAGCTGAGGCTGGAGGGGCCAGGTATGTAAATGAACAGAAGGAAGAATGGAGCATGGGGGGAGGGGAAGAGAGCATAGGGAGAGGCAGCAAGATCAAAATCAGGAAGGCCTCACGGGTCATCTTAAATGTTGTGGACTTAGTCCTAAGAATATGAGATGCCACTACGGATTTTAAGAAGGACAAGAACATAGTTAGGTTTTTATTGAGAAGCATCACTTAGCACTATGAGGGTAAAGAAGTGAAGAAGGCAAAAGTAGAAGCAAGGATTCTAGTTAGAAGCTATTTGGCAGACCATGATAGAAATGAGAACAGTTGGATTAGGCTGATGCAGTGGAAATGGAAACAAAAAAAAATTAAGATTTACCTAGGAGGTAGAATGTACAGTACATACAGGTAGAACTAAGGGAGAGGGAGGTACAAAGGATAACTTGATGGTTTTGGCCTTGAGTAACTGCATAGATGATGGTGACTTTTGCTGAAATAGAATACGTTAGAGGGAAAGGAGCTAGTTGGAATTACTGAGGGATAGAGGTACACAAGTTCAGTATTACATGTGCTTCATCTGAGATATCTGTGAGCTATTCAAGTGGAGAGGTTCAATATCCAGCTGGATATATGAGGTACTACATCATTAATGAAGATCATTCTAAATTATAGCACAGTCAAACACTCTACATTTGTTTAATTTTTTCTAGAAAAGGAATATGCTGTAGAACTGCACTGCTCAAAATGGAAGCCAGCCAAATGGAGGCTACTTAGATTCAAATTAATTAAAATTAAATACATTTAAAAATTAGTTTTTCAGGGCCGGCTCTGTGGCTTAGCGGTGAAGTGTGCGCGCTCCGCTGCTGGCGGCCCGGGTTCGGATCCCGGGCGCGCACCGATGCACCGCTTCTCTGGCCATGCTGAGGCCGCGTCCCACATACAGCAACTGGAAGGATGTGCAGCTATGACATACAACT